CCGCCTCATCCCATCCTCCCTGGGAGGCTTCCCCGCAAGGGTGTGCCCCTGCCACTCCTTGGGAGCGGGCCCTGCCTCTGATTCCCCATCTATCCTCTGTCAGGCTGTGAGGGCCGGGGTCTCTCCATCCATACAGACATGGCGTCTGTGACCAAGGCCATGGCAGCTCCAGAGTCTGGATTGGAAGTCCGGGACCGCATGTGGCTCAAAATCACCATCCCTAATGCCTTTTTGGGTATGGCTGGACCCTGGGCAGGTTGCATGGGAATGGGGGGAGGAAGAAGAGGGGGCCAAAGCTGGGAATGACCCAGGCAGGGGTGAGGCAGGAGCTGGGGAGGAGAACCTGAGGCCTTTTTCTGCTCTGGGTGATCCCAGGCTCCGATGTGGTTGACTGGCTCTACCATCATGTGGAAGGCTTTCCTGAGCGGCGGGAGGCCCGAAAATACGCCAGTGGGCTGCTCAAAGCGGGTCTTATCCGACACACAGTAAACAAGATCACCTTCTCTGAGCAGTGCTATTATGTATTTGGAGATCTCAGTGGAGGCTGCGAAAGTTGTGAGTGTCCCGTCCCTGCCCAGGCAGAGCAGAGCAGCTCTGGCTGTGGCAGTGCTTCCCCAACCCCAGCTCCACCTGGAAACTAGCCAGGGCAACGGGATAGTTGAAAGTATGCGTCCTGAACTGGCTGATGACACACCCATGTTCTGCTGGACAAGCTGCACACCAGGCATAGGGCTGTGGCTACTGGGCCGAGGGGCCCCTCTTCTCGTGGCTTTGCCTGACTGAATTCCTGCTCTGATGGCAGTGGCAGGTGGGGAATTTCCTATCAGAGGCTCTCATTTTAACCCCTGTCCTGGATGGTTTTGGGAAAACGTTCCTGGTTCCTTTTCATTAGATGTCTTGGAGTTGCGGCCTCTCACAACAGTGACTCCTGGTCCCTTCTCTTGCTTTCCAGACCTGGTCAACTTGTCTCTGAATGACAATGATGGCTCCAGTGGGGCTTCGGACCAGGACACCTTGGCTCCTCTGCCTGGGGCCACCCCCTGGCCTCTGTTGCCCACTTTCTCCTACCAGTACCCAGCACCACACCCTTACAGCCCCCAGCCCCCACCCTACCATGAGCTCTCATCCTACACCTATGGTGGAGGCAGTGCCAGCAGCCAGCACAGTGAGGGTAAGTCACTGCCAGCTGTGGATACAGCCAGGGTCTGCAGGATGGTGTGGGGAAAGCAGGGAGGAGAGCAGGGGCAGAGGCAGCCCAGGAACCCTGGCCTAGGGCTCAGCTGCTCCCATCCCCTCTCCTCCCACAGGGAGCCGGAGCAGTGGGTCTACACGAAGTGATGGGGGGGCAGGGCGCACAGGAAGGCCTGAGGAGCGGGCCCCTGAGTCCAAATCTGGCAGCGGCAGTGAGTCTGAGCCCTCCAGCCGGGGGAGCAGCCTTCGGCGGGGTGGGGAACCTGGTGGGACTGGTGACGGGGGCGCTCCCCCTTCCAGGGGCTCGTCAGCAGGTACTCCCCATCTCCGAGCTCACCCAGGGCTAAATCCCTACGGCCCGCCCCCTGGTATGGCCCTCCCCTATAACCCCATGATGGTAGTCATGATGCCCCCACCACCACCCCCTGTTCCGCCAGCAGTGCAGCCCCCAGGGGCCCCTCCAGTCAGAGACCTGGGTTCTGTGCCCCCAGAGCTGACAGCCAGCCGCCAAAGCTTCCACATGGCCATGGGCAACCCCAGTGAGTTCTTTGTAGATGTTATGTAGAGCCCACAGTGGGGCCTGTTGGCTCTCTGCCCTTGGCCTGACAGTCAGTGCTCTGTGCTCCTGTCCTGTGATTGGGTGTCTTGTCAATCACATGCCTGTTAACACCTCTGTGCCTGGGCTCAGCCCGCCCTATGGGCTGCCAGCTGCCACTGACTCTTACTGGCAGTGCCTAGTCCCTCCCCCTCCCTCAGGGGTGTACAAGGGACCTTTGGTTATTTTTAGCATTTTTTTATAAGCTTTTTTGGGGGTTAAAATAGATTTTCATATGTTTTTGGACTATTTTTTTAGTAGGCTTTTTTTTTTATATGAAGAATCCCCATCTCCCGGGCCCCCTTCTTCTGACCAGAAAATGTCATTCACCCCGTCAGGTGTCCTGCAGGGTGGGCGGTGGTCAGTGGTACCTTGGGAGGAGGAAGGGGTTGGTCACCCTAGACAGCAGTCAAAGAAAGCTGGGGTATTTGGTACTTGGGGGCCATGTAGCTGATTTTGTTACTCTATTTATTTTAGTCACTTGTATAAAACACGAAATAAAGCAACAGGGACAAACTCCCTACGCCTCTGGCTCCTTTCTTTGGGAGGGAGGCAGGCAGCAAGGGAAAGGACTGAGACACAAACAGCAAAGCCTGACTTGTTAGAAACTTTATTTGTGAGGCAGTAAGTGCCCCCTCTAAAAGTAGGCACAGTCCTGGGGTGAGGCCCCTTCAAGGCAGAACCAGGGCCCACAGGAAAGGTGTCTGGGCTTTGGCTTGAGAAAAGGCACATTTGGGGCCAGGCACGGCCTGGGAGCATTCAGAAGCCAAGGGGGTTGCTGGTGACCACACCACCTCGCTCCACCAAGGCGCTGGAGATGCTTCTGAAGTTACGGAACAGCTCCTGTTGGTGAGGGTCAGACTGCAGAGCAGCCACACTCTCCCGGATCCGGGCTGCAGCCTGGGGAGAGGGCAAGAAGGCTTTAGGCTTGTGTCTCAAACCCCCTACCTGCCTTTAGTAACCCTGAAGCTCACCTCAATACACCAGCTGTCACAGAGCATTTTCTCATGCTGGGCTGTGGGGAGGCCCTCACCCAGGGACTTTGAAGCCCTGGTGGGTGGGAAGCAGGAGGAGAAAATAAATTGGGGCTGTGACCCTGGCCCAGGATCCCCTCTGCAGCTGAAGTCTCCCATACTGCCTCCTCACCTGGATAGAACCACCACCATGGCATAGAGGTCAATGGCATTGTCTGCCAGACGCTGCAGCAGAAACTGTTCACCTGCCGAGGTAGATGGGGTGGGGTTGGAGGGTGTTAGTTGGAGTGGGAGGAGGAGAAGGGGGTGGGAATGGTGTAGAGCTCACTCACTGACAATCCCCTTCTTGTGTTTTATCAGCTTGGCCTCCACGACAGTGGCAAACTGCTCCAGAGCCTGTACTGCCTGAAGAGATGGGTAAGGCAGGGTCCCTGGGCTCAGAAGGGGGGCCCAGCCTCCTCAGCCCTAGACAGAGCCTGCCCCCTAACTACTTACCAGCTCACCGCTGCGACTCAACTCCTGGTGGATGATGCCATTGAGACTCAGGCCACTGCCCAGCCCTGCCCGCCTTAGAAGAGAGAGAGTGACTGGTTAGTTGCCCTGCCTTGCCCTGCCCTGCCTGCCCTGGCCCCTAAGCTTACCGCCTCAGCTGTTTGCCTGCCTCTCCTAGCAGGAGGCCGGCGTTCCCAAAAGGATTCTTTAGAGCATTGCCAAGTCCAGAGAGTTGCTTTCCTTTGTCCTGTGGAGAGGAGGGTCCAATAGTCAGGAGTCATTTTTCTCCCTACTTCCTCCCCCCAATTCTCCCTCTTACCATACAGCCCTGCAGAGCCACAAACAGCCGGAGAATGTCATTTGTCCCCTCAAAGATGCGGAAGATGCGAAGATCTCGGAGCACACGCTCCACCCCAGGCTCCTACCACAAGGGATGAAAGATCAGATGCCCCTGCCTGCTTACTCCTCCTGGCCCAACTGTGGCTACATGGGCAGGGAACTATCCTGTACCTTCATGAAGCCCATGCCTCCCATGATTTGGATGCACTCATCTGTCACCTTCCAGGCTGCCTCCTAAGAACAAAGAGCCACATAGGATGGGTTTTGGTGCCAAGCTTCCGAGCTGGGCTCCCCCTCCCTGCAGGCCTGGGACCTCACCGAGCCAAAGATTTTGCTGATGGCGGCCTCTATCTGGAAGTCTGTGGATCCCTGGTCCATGTTGGCACTCACCATGTATGCCATGGACTGAAGTGATAGAGTTGGGACATGAAGATGAAAATGGAAAGGGCTGCATCAGACAAGACCAAATCACTTGGAACTCTAAGACCAGGTCTGCCCTAGCTCCCTAGGGCTTTGCCTTCATGTTCACTCCATTTATCAGGCATGTTGAAATAGTTGGTCCTGAGTCAGTTCATCAGGGGCACTCAGGCATTTGAGTTCTTGAAAGGGATGAAGGGGTAAGGGTGGGGTGAATAAACTTCAGGTACTTCTGGAAGCCTCTCAACACAGTGGCATGGCTCTCCCACTTCTGCAGCAGCTGAAATGACTATGCCTCCCCGCATCCCCTAGGGCATTGGTGTAAAGCTGGAGACCCACTGCCCCAGGTGCTGCTGGGGGTTGTAGTCTGACTCAACTGGGAAGAAAGCCACAGGGCTCTGGGGAGAGGGACATAGGACCCTCACCTCAGTCACATACTGCAGCATAGCCATCCTGGCTAGCTTCTCCTGGATCAGCCCAAAGTTGTGAATTTTCTCCCCAAACTGGGTACGATTAGCAGCATGATCCACCTGGAAGAGGACACACGTGTCCCACTGTGGTTCTCTAGTTCCCTCAGGAGATGGGCTGGGCTTGCCTGGGCTTGGAGGGATGGGCCACAGCCAAGAGTTAGTCCAGGCTGGATGGAGACCTAAGCTATCAGGTCTGGAGCTGCTGGTGGGTGAGGGTCTTTGGTGGAGGGAGGTGCCTACAAGGGCACCGGGATATGGCGAGAGGGACAGTGTGACTTAGATTCAGGCTAGCTAGGGACTCAGGGTACTCACCGCCTTAGCAATGATGCCCTTCATGGTACCTGCAAGGGCTGCAGCCATGCCAAACCTTCCATTGTTGAGAATGTGCATGGCAACCTTGAAGCCACCTCCCACCTCGCCCAGCACATTCACTTGAACCCAGGGGAGGAAGTTGAGAAGGGAATCCAAGCCCCTTAGGAGGGGAAGTCAGGGATTTGGAGCCCTGTCCTGCTTATGTGAGCTGGAAACCATCTCTGCCTGTCTAGCCCTAATGTGTCCAGCAGCCGAGAAAATCTGGAGCCTGAGACAGAAACGGAATCAGTAGTCTCTCTGAGGAGGGAGCGGCCTCGAAGGAGAGATAGCAATGAGCATGGCGGTGAGGGGGGCCAGGCCCTGAAGCTGGGGAGCTGGGAAGAGGTGGGGAAGCCTCAGGCCTTGGTGAGGCTGAGGAGCATGAGGTCTGGGTTCTGAGGTGCCTGTTCATACTCAGCTGGGGGCCACAGGCCCAGTGGCCCCCCAAGGCTGGAGCGCCACCTGGCTGGGTATGAGAGCTCCTCAACCCTCCTGACCAGCGAGCTGGAGAGCACCAGCCTGGGGGACTCTGACGAGGATGACACTATGAGCAGGTGTGGCTCCACAGATCCTCGCTAGGGCACCAGCCCCTTCTCTCCCTTCAGCTATCCTCCCATCCTTTCTCTTGGCCCCATGACCACTTCTGCCTGCAAGAGCTCTCCGCCCCAACCTCCCGACAGGTTCAGCAGCTCCACGGAGCAGAGCAGTGCCTCACGCCTCCTCAAGCGCCACCGGCGGCGGAGGAAACAACGGCCACCACGCCTGGAGAGGGTGAGGGGCTTCTTGTGGGACATCTGGATCTTGGAGAAATTGGGGGCATGGGCATTTGTTTAGGGGGTATATGGGCACAGACAGAACCCAGGCTTATCACCACCTCCCTGCTGGGTGGTTGAAGGCTGTCCAGCTCCTTCCCCTTTTCCCATCACAGACCTCATCCTTCAGCAGCGTCACTGATTCCACCATGTCCCTCAACATCATCACAGTCACACTCAACATGGGTATGGAGGGAGCCTGCGGCTGGGGGGAGGACCTGGCCTCCAGGGCTCATGGGGGTTCATGAGCTGGGGTTTCCTTTCATCATATGGACTCCCTCCACAGAGAAGTACAACTTCCTGGGCATCTCCATTGTGGGCCAAAGCAATGAGCGGGGAGATGGTGGCATCTACATTGGTTCCATCATGAAGGGTGGGGCCGTGGCAGCTGACGGGCGCATCGAGCCAGGGGACATGCTTTTGCAGGTGCGCTGGGCAGGGCCACTGGCGCCAACTCAGACAGGGGCTCTCAGCCTCTGCTCCCCTGCCTCTGACCCACTTATCACTTACAGGTGAATGACATGAACTTTGAGAACATGAGCAATGATGATGCGGTACGGGTGCTGAGGGACATTGTGCACAAGCCGGGGTGAGTCTTTGAGCCGATATCAGGTCCTTAGTTCTCTTGTGTTTGCCTTTTCACTTTGTTTTATAATCCTAAAAAATGTACACTTACATGAATGGGGTGGGAGTGGTGGTAGCATAACACTTACTGAAACATAACAATTACCTGAAAAGCCCGTAAAACAAAAACATGTAATGAATAATTCTAAGGGGACTGAATACCTATGTCACCACCACTTGGATCATAAAATAGAAGATTACTGATACCCCAGAAGTCCCTCGGGGTCCCTTCCCACCCCTGCCCTCCTCACTCTCCTTAGAGGTAATCACTCTCCTGACTATTTTGGTCATCACCCTGACAAAGAAAATCTCCACTTGACTTGGTGGTTTCACAGCTCATGTGTGTATCCTTGGACAACAAGGTTTAGTTTTACGTGTTTGTGGACTTCTCTGTGTGGAACTGCACAGTGTACGCTCTTGGGTCTCAGCAGTATGTTTTTAAGATTTACCCATGTTGGTGAGTCACCCGCATTGTGGAGTTGTTCACCCTCACCGTCTCTGGCTTGGCTGTGTCTGTGATTTTTTTCTTCTCTTTTTCTTTGTGTCCCGTAAACCATTCTCATTCCAGGCCTCTGCCCTCCTGAGGCCTCTGCTTGACTGGCCTTCTCTTCCCTGTAGCCCCATTGTGCTGACTGTGGCCAAGTGCTGGGATCCCTCTCCCCAGGCCTATTTCACTCTCCCCCGAAGTGAGTTATGCTCTGGAGAGCCTGCGGCTGAGAGGACAGGAGAGCTGGGAGCTGGGGCTGGGCCTCTGGGCTAAGGTTGGAGGCGGGGTGGGATGAGGGGATGGGAAGCTGAGTAAGGTTGAGAGAGGGTGGTGTCTCTGGGACTGAAAAGTGATCACCTTGGTGGCCATCTCTATCCCAGATGAGCCCATCCAACCAATTGACCCTGCTGCCTGGGTCTCCCATTCGGCTGCACTGACTGGCACCTTCCCGGCGTACCCCGGTTCCTCGTCCATGAGCACCATTACATCTGGGTCCTCTCTGCCTGATGGTGAGCCCCAGGCCCGCCTCATCCCATCCTCCCTGGGAGGCTTCCCCGCAAGGGTGTGCCCCTGCCACTCCTTGGGAGCGGGCCCTGCCTCTGATTCCCCATCTATCCTCTGTCAGGCTGTGAGGGCCGGGGTCTCTCCATCCATACAGACATGGCGTCTGTGACCAAGGCCATGGCAGCTCCAGAGTCTGGATTGGAAGTCCGGGACCGCATGTGGCTCAAAATCACCATCCCTAATGCCTTTTTGGGTATGGCTGGACCCTGGGCAGGTTGCATGGGAATGGGGGGAGGAAGAAGAGGGGGCCAAAGCTGGGAATGACCCAGGCAGGGGTGAGGCAGGAGCTGGGGAGGAGAACCTGAGGCCTTTTTCTGCTCTGGGTGATCCCAGGCTCCGATGTGGTTGACTGGCTCTACCATCATGTGGAAGGCTTTCCTGAGCGGCGGGAGGCCCGAAAATACGCCAGTGGGCTGCTCAAAGCGGGTCTTATCCGACACACAGTAAACAAGATCACCTTCTCTGAGCAGTGCTATTATGTATTTGGAGATCTCAGTGGAGGCTGCGAAAGTTGTGAGTGTCCCGTCCCTGCCCAGGCAGAGCAGAGCAGCTCTGGCTGTGGCAGTGCTTCCCCAACCCCAGCTCCACCTGGAAACTAGCCAGGGCAACGGGATAGTTGAAAGTATGCGTCCTGAACTGGCTGATGACACACCCATGTTCTGCTGGACAAGCTGCACACCAGGCATAGGGCTGTGGCTACTGGGCCGAGGGGCCCCTCTTCTCGTGGCTTTGCCTGACTGAATTCCTGCTCTGATGGCAGTGGCAGGTGGGGAATTTCCTATCAGAGGCTCTCATTTTAACCCCTGTCCTGGATGGTTTTGGGAAAACGTTCCTGGTTCCTTTTCATTAGATGTCTTGGAGTTGCGGCCTCTCACAACAGTGACTCCTGGTCCCTTCTCTTGCTTTCCAGACCTGGTCAACTTGTCTCTGAATGACAATGATGGCTCCAGTGGGGCTTCGGACCAGGACACCTTGGCTCCTCTGCCTGGGGCCACCCCCTGGCCTCTGTTGCCCACTTTCTCCTACCAGTACCCAGCACCACACCCTTACAGCCCCCAGCCCCCACCCTACCATGAGCTCTCATCCTACACCTATGGTGGAGGCAGTGCCAGCAGCCAGCACAGTGAGGGTAAGTCACTGCCAGCTGTGGATACAGCCAGGGTCTGCAGGATGGTGTGGGGAAAGCAGGGAGGAGAGCAGGGGCAGAGGCAGCCCAGGAACCCTGGCCTAGGGCTCAGCTGCTCCCATCCCCTCTCCTCCCACAGGGAGCCGGAGCAGTGGGTCTACACGAAGTGATGGGGGGGCAGGGCGCACAGGAAGGCCTGAGGAGCGGGCCCCTGAGTCCAAATCTGGCAGCGGCAGTGAGTCTGAGCCCTCCAGCCGGGGGAGCAGCCTTCGGCGGGGTGGGGAACCTGGTGGGACTGGTGACGGGGGCGCTCCCCCTTCCAGGGGCTCGTCAGCAGGTACTCCCCATCTCCGAGCTCACCCAGGGCTAAATCCCTACGGCCCGCCCCCTGGTATGGCCCTCCCCTATAACCCCATGATGGTAGTCATGATGCCCCCACCACCACCCCCTGTTCCGCCAGCAGTGCAGCCCCCAGGGGCCCCTCCAGTCAGAGACCTGGGTTCTGTGCCCCCAGAGCTGACAGCCAGCCGCCAAAGCTTCCACATGGCCATGGGCAACCCCAGTGAGTTCTTTGTAGATGTTATGTAGAGCCCACAGTGGGGCCTGTTGGCTCTCTGCCCTTGGCCTGACAGTCAGTGCTCTGTGCTCCTGTCCTGTGATTGGGTGTCTTGTCAATCACATGCCTGTTAACACCTCTGTGCCTGGGCTCAGCCCGCCCTATGGGCTGCCAGCTGCCACTGACTCTTACTGGCAGTGCCTAGTCCCTCCCCCTCCCTCAGGGGTGTACAAGGGACCTTTGGTTATTTTTAGCATTTTTTTATAAGCTTTTTTGGGGGTTAAAATAGATTTTCATATGTTTTTGGACTATTTTTTTAGTAGGCTTTTTTTTTTATATGAAGAATCCCCATCTCCCGGGCCCCCTTCTTCTGACCAGAAAATGTCATTCACCCCGTCAGGTGTCCTGCAGGGTGGGCGGTGGTCAGTGGTACCTTGGGAGGAGGAAGGGGTTGGTCACCCTAGACAGCAGTCAAAGAAAGCTGGGGTATTTGGTACTTGGGGGCCATGTAGCTGATTTTGTTACTCTATTTATTTTAGTCACTTGTATAAAACACGAAATAAAGCAACAGGGACAAACTCCCTACGCCTCTGGCTCCTTTCTTTGGGAGGGAGGCAGGCAGCAAGGGAAAGGACTGAGACACAAACAGCAAAGCCTGACTTGTTAGAAACTTTATTTGTGAGGCAGTAAGTGCCCCCTCTAAAAGTAGGCACAGTCCTGGGGTGAGGCCCCTTCAAGGCAGAACCAGGGCCCACAGGAAAGGTGTCTGGGCTTTGGCTTGAGAAAAGGCACATTTGGGGCCAGGCACGGCCTGGGAGCATTCAGAAGCCAAGGGGGTTGCTGGTGACCACACCACCTCGCTCCACCAAGGCGCTGGAGATGCTTCTGAAGTTACGGAACAGCTCCTGTTGGTGAGGGTCAGACTGCAGAGCAGCCACACTCTCCCGGATCCGGGCTGCAGCCTGGGGAGAGGGCAAGAAGGCTTTAGGCTTGTGTCTCAAACCCCCTACCTGCCTTTAGTAACCCTGAAGCTCACCTCAATACACCAGCTGTCACAGAGCATTTTCTCATGCTGGGCTGTGGGGAGGCCCTCACCCAGGGACTTTGAAGCCCTGGTGGGTGGGAAGCAGGAGGAGAAAATAAATTGGGGCTGTGACCCTGGCCCAGGATCCCCTCTGCAGCTGAAGTCTCCCATACTGCCTCCTCACCTGGATAGAACCACCACCATGGCATAGAGGTCAATGGCATTGTCTGCCAGACGCTGCAGCAGAAACTGTTCACCTGCCGAGGTAGATGGGGTGGGGTTGGAGGGTGTTAGTTGGAGTGGGAGGAGGAGAAGGGGGTGGGAATGGTGTAGAGCTCACTCACTGACAATCCCCTTCTTGTGTTTTATCAGCTTGGCCTCCACGACAGTGGCAAACTGCTCCAGAGCCTGTACTGCCTGAAGAGATGGGTAAGGCAGGGTCCCTGGGCTCAGAAGGGGGGCCCAGCCTCCTCAGCCCTAGACAGAGCCTGCCCCCTAACTACTTACCAGCTCACCGCTGCGACTCAACTCCTGGTGGATGATGCCATTGAGACTCAGGCCACTGCCCAGCCCTGCCCGCCTTAGAAGAGAGAGAGTGACTGGTTAGTTGCCCTGCCTTGCCCTGCCCTGCCTGCCCTGGCCCCTAAGCTTACCGCCTCAGCTGTTTGCCTGCCTCTCCTAGCAGGAGGCCGGCGTTCCCAAAAGGATTCTTTAGAGCATTGCCAAGTCCAGAGAGTTGCTTTCCTTTGTCCTGTGGAGAGGAGGGTCCAATAGTCAGGAGTCATTTTTCTCCCTACTTCCTCCCCCCAATTCTCCCTCTTACCATACAGCCCTGCAGAGCCACAAACAGCCGGAGAATGTCATTTGTCCCCTCAAAGATGCGGAAGATGCGAAGATCTCGGAGCACACGCTCCACCCCAGGCTCCTACCACAAGGGATGAAAGATCAGATGCCCCTGCCTGCTTACTCCTCCTGGCCCAACTGTGGCTACATGGGCAGGGAACTATCCTGTACCTTCATGAAGCCCATGCCTCCCATGATTTGGATGCACTCATCTGTCACCTTCCAGGCTGCCTCCTAAGAACAAAGAGCCACATAGGATGGGTTTTGGTGCCAAGCTTCCGAGCTGGGCTCCCCCTCCCTGCAGGCCTGGGACCTCACCGAGCCAAAGATTTTGCTGATGGCGGCCTCTATCTGGAAGTCTGTGGATCCCTGGTCCATGTTGGCACTCACCATGTATGCCATGGACTGAAGTGATAGAGTTGGGACATGAAGATGAAAATGGAAAGGGCTGCATCAGACAAGACCAAATCACTTGGAACTCTAAGACCAGGTCTGCCCTAGCTCCCTAGGGCTTTGCCTTCATGTTCACTCCATTTATCAGGCATGTTGAAATAGTTGGTCCTGAGTCAGTTCATCAGGGGCACTCAGGCATTTGAGTTCTTGAAAGGGATGAAGGGGTAAGGGTGGGGTGAATAAACTTCAGGTACTTCTGGAAGCCTCTCAACACAGTGGCATGGCTCTCCCACTTCTGCAGCAGCTGAAATGACTATGCCTCCCCGCATCCCCTAGGGCATTGGTGTAAAGCTGGAGACCCACTGCCCCAGGTGCTGCTGGGGGTTGTAGTCTGACTCAACTGGGAAGAAAGCCACAGGGCTCTGGGGAGAGGGACATAGGACCCTCACCTCAGTCACATACTGCAGCATAGCCATCCTGGCTAGCTTCTCCTGGATCAGCCCAAAGTTGTGAATTTTCTCCCCAAACTGGGTACGATTAGCAGCATGATCCACCTGGAAGAGGACACACGTGTCCCACTGTGGTTCTCTAGTTCCCTCAGGAGATGGGCTGGGCTTGCCTGGGCTTGGAGGGATGGGCCACAGCCAAGAGTTAGTCCAGGCTGGATGGAGACCTAAGCTATCAGGTCTGGAGCTGCTGGTGGGTGAGGGTCTTTGGTGGAGGGAGGTGCCTACAAGGGCACCGGGATATGGCGAGAGGGACAGTGTGACTTAGATTCAGGCTAGCTAGGGACTCAGGGTACTCACCGCCTTAGCAATGATGCCCTTCATGGTACCTGCAAGGGCTGCAGCCATGCCAAACCTTCCATTGTTGAGAATGTGCATGGCAACCTTGAAGCCACCTCCCACCTCGCCCAGCACATTCTCTGATGGCACCCGTACTCCATCAAAGTACACTTCTGCTGTGTTTGAGGCCTTGATGCCCATCTTCTTCTCAGGTGGCCCACTGTGACAGTAAGGTGGAAAAGGAAGAGGTGTGTTAAACAAATTGCCCCTTGTGGCGTGGGGGAATTGCCCCTATATTCTTTATGAACCAGGGAGTAACTATAACTCCTAGCCTGTAAGAGGGTGCAGGCAACAGTTCCCTACACACACAGAGCTGCTGGAAGGCCTGGCTGGCTCTTATCAGCTGCTATGTGTTCAGCTCACTGGTTGCTATAGCCAAAGTGTTTGGTCAGTTCCCTACATAATAATAGTCCTAAAGGGAACATGCTATCCAACCACTCCGGCTTTTGCACAGATCCCTAGGGTGACTGTAACAGCCATCTGCCCTGGAATTCAGTACAGTCCCCTCCCTGGCTTGACCTCTCTCCCCCTAAACTCACTGGGTAACACCTCCAAAGCTCCTTTCCACCACAAAAGCTGTGATCTTCTCCTTCACAGCCCCTGTGGCTGCTTCTGTAACTGGTGTCTTGGCAAATACTGTGAAGATCTCTGCCAGGCCCCCATTACTGTGGAAAAAAGGGGCAGTCAGGTTGTGGAGGACAGAGTAGTGGGGCCTGGAATTGCATGGAGGTGGAGAGAAGGGGAGAAATGGGAGGAACATTGCCTGATCCAAATCTTGCTTCCATTGAGGGTGTAATATTTTCCACAGGGGCTGGGCACAGCTGAGGTTCGGATGGAGGCTGCATCTGATCCACTCGAGGGCTCAGTTAGACAAAAAGCTGCCATAGTCTTCCCTATTGGGGAGAGAGCTCCTTTAGCCTGGGTCCTGATAGGCATCAGAGGTCCCCAGTGTACCCTCTGAACACAGCAGTCCCTCCTTAACACCTCTGGCAATATAAGATTTCTTCATGTTACTCCATCAGCACACTGATGCCTTTCCAGAATCTCCTCCAACCCACGTGCCCAGCTATGCAGTGATGTCTGTACCACCAACCTAATTTGTGCCAAGGCCAGGACATCCCCAATCCCTGGGTCTCCCAGGGCTGTCTCACCAGATGCCAGTTTGGGGAGGTATTTTTCTTTCTGGGCCTTTGTGCCAAACAGCAGGATGCCTTTGAAACCAATGCTTTGATGGGCTCCCAGGACGATGCCCACACCAAGGTCGTGCATGCCTACGATCTCCACCAAGCGGGCGTACTGGAGGGGAAGTAGGCATCTGGAGCTGTAACTGGCTGCATGGGAGCCTTCTCTTAGGAGAAGTGGGCAACAGGGCAGGGTGATGTGGGCATCCCCTGGAGGGGAAGTGGGACTACTGCAGAGAGGCAGAGACGGACATGAGTCTGCCCTAGGTTTTGGGGGGAGGCTTCCTACCCTACTGTCAGTCCCCACCTCAAAGATTCATCAGAACTGGGGAACCTGGGTGAGGTCCATGACGCAAGGGGACTGTTTGTAACTTGTTCAGTGTTTGGCAGAGGTGTCTATACATTTGGAGAATCATCCAATAGGACCCAGGACAGTTGCTTGGCAGAGAACTTAACTCTGGTGGTGAGGAAAGGGCCGAAGGGCAAAGCTGGAGCAGATGGGGAAACTGGGAAGTGACAAGGCTGCCTCACCTGAGTGTTGCAGAGGCCCACGCCACCCAGTTCAGTGGGTACTTGCAGACCAAAGGCCCCCAGCTCCTTGAGGCCCTGCATAGTGGTCTCCTCTACCTGCTCCAGCATGTCATTCTTGGCAGGATTGTTCACCTCCTGGGGAAGGCACAGGATCCCACATCTAGGCTCCTTTTTAGCATAACATTTCTTTCACTCCATCAGGGACCAAGCCCTCTATTCCCCAGTTCCAGTCATTACCTCGAAGAAACGGGACACAGGCCCCACCAGTTCCTTGAGAAACTGTGTCTGCTCCTCATTGAGTACTGCAGGGGTGGGCAGGAAGAGCGCCAGGAGGGTCAGGAGGGTCAGGCAGGGGAAACAGGCCAGACCCCACCCAGCTATGACTACCTCTTCCCTTACCAGACGGGTATGGGAACACCTGATCGGTGGTGAGCTGGCCTTTGAACATCCCCACAGCAAAGGACTTAGATTCCTGAGCAGGGAGAGGGGGGTTTCAGAGTGCCGAAGTGGGAGTGAGGTTCATCCCCGGGTTAGCTCCTCCCAGCCTCGGGGCCTCATACCGCCTGGGCCCGTTTTTCCCTAGTGGAAGCCTCAGAGGAGAGGGAATCTGACTTGTCCAGAACCGCCTAGGAAAAAAACAGTAGTTAGCAAGGCCAGGGAAGGGGCTTCCGACGTGGCAAGGAGAGCAGTGGGGAAGGGCTGGGTCCAGGTGAGGGTGTATCCGGGGACCTTGGCCTGCCCTTTCCCCTACTTTCGGAGCCAAG